CCCCAAAACCCCAAAACCCCAAAACCCCAGTGTTTGAAGATCAAATAAATTTGAATGATTTAAGAAATTAATAATTAACCAAAGTCCTTTGACGCTAATTAGATTTACAGCGATAGAATTACTGGCAATCCCTTATACATTTTCAATGAAATTTCTTTGCTTTTTTGTTATTGAGTTTTCTTTTTTTCTTATTAGGCGCAATGTTACTTTAACCAAAGCCAGAGATACCATTGAATTTTCTTTTTTTACTTCCTTGCCCCTTGAATTTACCATATCCACCAGTCGTTTTAATTTCTAAATTAGATTGATCCCCGCTTTCAGACCCAGCATCATTGTCACTTTCTTCATCTGAGTTATCGAATTAATCGTAGGAATTTGTATTCTATTTCTACTACATGTGATTAACAGTAATCGCAGGTTTAGATATCTCATCAAAAGCGTCCATTGTTGTGTTACCAAATCCATAGTTGCCGTCCATCACTTCATCTGGCTTATAATTAGGGAAAGCCTTTTTCTTAGGAATCCAGTTTTCTTCAGCGTTTCCATTACTTTACTTTAACTTAGATGCGGGGCCATTACTTTTCTTTTTTTTGAGTTCAAAATAATCCAAGTTTTCATGATCATTATCCTCTTAATAATTTATTTACCTCACTGTAGCTGGATTGAAGTCTTTATTTATCAACAGGTGAGATTTATGTAGCCTTAAGAAATGATTGAACTCCATTATAAATAAGTGTCCGTACTTATCAATTGCTCCTCTTACTGAAGCAGATTTACCTTCCTTAAGTAGATTTATAATCTCAGGTGCATTATCATTTAGGTTTTCCTGAGCAAAGGAAAGAAAAGTTTTAAATCCAGTATTGGAAAAAGCAGTGGACACAGCCAATTACTCATCATCTTCAGTGAGACTAAGAAGTCTGTTCCTTATCAAATATAGTCTTTGCCTCAGCTCCTCTTTTTGAATCTCAGTAAGAATAAGTTATGGGATCCTTAGACTTTCCCCAGTTCTTTAGAGCTTCATTGATCTAGTGGTGTCAAGCGATTGCAGAGAAATATCCAGATTATTGTTATGATTCAAGCCTTAGCCATTGTTGCTTGATATTCTATTAGAACTAGATGAATTATGATTCTAGATTATCCCAATTTCCTAGTGGTTACTATATTTTGGCTTTTAATAGCCATAATCCCGTTCCTCTACAGCATTCTATTTGACAATATCATTGTTGATGACTACATTAGCAGTCATATTGTTGATATTACTATTGCTGAATCCATTGTTGACTAATGAACTGTATTAATCTATATCTTCTGAGTTATTTGCTAGAGTTATGGGAGTTTTCTTACGAGCATGCTGCTAATCTACAAATGAGACAATATCTGCTCTGTGTTTCACATAATTTCTTTTGCCATCTTCTGTTTATTCTTTGACTTCTTCTCTTACTATCTAGCGAGGCACAAGTGCTTAATTTTCTGCTTAAATAGCTGGCTTGGATTGCTTATCATTGACACCACCCATTTAGATATCAAGCTGATCCTTCTTGGGATCTTTTTTCTCCCCGAAACTCAAGTTGATCTCAAGAATGTCTCTTTGCAAATCATTTATCAAGTTCTATCTCCCAGGGATCAAGTACACTATAATCTGCTGTATGCTCTTACCAAATTTCTATTTCTAGAATGACTCTTTGAGCAGCTTCATTCTAAGCAAATGAATAATCAACCTCCTAAGATCTTTTTCACTCACTGGCTTTAGTTTACCTGAATAGAACTCTAGTTAATCTGCTCTAAGGAACTGCTTTTGTAGTTTCTTACCTCTTAGCACCTCTATAGCTTACTTATAAGAAACAAAGGTATTGTATTTCTAGCACTCTTAAACTAGCCTGACTATTGTTTGAGCTTCTCTGGCATAATTTCTCTCGACTAAGTTTAAGTCTTATCTGCAATTATCGCACATTTGGAGGCATTTACTTTTATCGAATTGTTCTCCTAGGAATTCAAGCTGAAGTTTTCTTCTGCATTCATAGGGTTCCTCGCAATACTGAAGCATTGAGTAAAGAGCGTGAACATTTTCATTCTTTCTTGTATTAGTGTTATCATTATTAGTTACTATGAAGAAATCATTCCTTTTTCTATCTCCATAAGCATAATAAAGAATGCATTCTGCTTTTTATCCATCTCTTCCAGCTCTGCCACATTCTTAAACGTACCCCTCCAAACTCTTAGGCATTGAGTAATGTATTACAAATCTCACATCCTTTTTGTTGATTCCCATTCCAAAAGCAATAGTAGCTATGATAATCTATATCTAGTTCTTCATCCATCTCTCTTGTATCAATTTTCTTTGCTTATAAGGCACATCAGCATGATAAAAATCGCAGTTAATATCATGATTTCTTCGTAACTTTTCAGATAAAACCTAGCAATCGTTCTTGGATATGCAGTAAATAATTCCACTTTTCCCCCTGAATCTAGTCTTGAGCATATTCACCAAGTCAACAGTTATATCCTTGATGGCTTTCTTGTCTCTAATTTCATAAAATAGGTTAGTTCTGTTGAAGGAACTTTAGAAGCATATTACTTTTTACTGAATTCGCAATCGCTTCGCGATATCATCCTTAACTTTCAAGGTAGCTGTGGCAGTTAAACATAGAAGTGGGACAGTAGGATATCTCTGCTTAAGCATGTCCAAGTGCAAGTAGTCTTTTCTGAAGTCTTGACCCCAATGACTGACACAATGCACTTCGTCTATTACAAATCTATCTATAAGACCTACTGAATAGAGATGATCCATAGTGTTCATAAGTCCTGGACTTTTTACCAACTTCTCTGGAGTCAGGTAGACAAGTTTATACTGGACATTCTTGATTTCTCTATAGCACTAACTAATTCTGTTCTCCTCTTTCTGGCCAGAACTGGTAGAAGATAAGTTGCAAGAAGGAATGCCAACCTCAGTGACAAAATTGAAGTTATCTTCGATCAGACTGAGAAGTGGCATGACCACAAATGTCACACCCTTGTCAGTCACAGCAGAGAGCTAAAAGGTTAGAGATTTACCACCACCAGTTGGAATTAGTGCAAGCACGTCTTTGCCACTCTTAGTAGCATTAATGATTTCCCGCTAATTTTCTCTAAAGTCCTCGTTTCCAAAAATTGTCTAATTAGCTATGTTGATTTCCTAGTCCCAAGAAAAGGGCTGGTTCCATTCGGTCTTGAACTTATTAAGCTCTTCCTTCTCATGGATGTCAAGATGTTTCTGATAAGATCCATGCTAATTTTCCCCATCATTCTGATCTCCATTGAGACTATCATTATCGCTTTTCCATAGCTCTTCTTCCATTTATTAGGCTAATAATTCGAGTTCACAGTTGGGATCAATGTCCCCATTATCTGCGTTGTCTATCATTGGATAGTCTCCTATCTCAGATAAGTTTATGGGTTTATCACTATCAGAATCGTCATTTTCTTAGCTATTTCCTCCACCAACATTATTTGCATTTATTGTTGGCTATTTAGCAGTAATTGAGTCGCTGTTTTTTCTCATGAATGATCTAAATATTTATTTTAAAAAAGTATAATTATTACTGATTAGGAATATAATCGTCGATTCCACCCATCATTACGCAGTCAGCTATATCATCATCATTTAAGTTTTAAAGTGCATTTAAAAGTTCATAGTCAATTTCATTAGTGCTTTCTATCAGATTTATATTCTGTCTATCGACTGGTTCCCTATTATCACTTTGATATTCTAAATTGGCATTATTTCATAAAACTTTACTCTTATTCAGAAGACCTCCTTTCTAAGGGTTTACTTTCTCATAGTCTCTCTTCTAGCTCATCTAAATAGAAAATTTTTCAAAAAAATTAAATTTTACCGCAATTTTTTAATTTGAGTCTTCTTTGCTCTCTGATATCTATGACATCTAAGCCTATATAAGCATTAGTACCAATGAGACTTTAATATTTATAGGCATTAATTAGAATTTATGGAAGCTAAATCTGACTCACCTTATAATAGTTGCTCTGCTTGAAAAGCTGCTCTTTTGTCAATTTATCCATTGCTTTTAGAAATTTAAATGATTTAATTTTTATTAATTACAACGACATACATTAATAAATAAATAGAAACTTAATCTTATTACTTTTAATTCCCTAACAGATTTAACTCAAAGGGGTTTTGGGGTTTTGGGGTTTTGGGG